GCTGTTTCTATATATATATACTAACTTTCATCACTGCATTAAAATATAACATTGATTTATCGACTTATAAGAGTGTGCTTTATTAAGTTTCTAATCATATTTCTTCACATTTTAGAGATTGCTTTTGGAGGTATGTTACAAACTTTGCCTTAAAAAATTTAAAAAATTCACTCATTGCGTATGAAACTTTGAATATCTCTGAAAATTTTTCACATAATTTTTAAAAAAAAATTCCATATATTTTTGTAGCTTGAATTAGGTTTTAGAAGCTTGATTATGTACTTTTTTTTAGCAATTTGTCTGATTATAATATTCCTAAATAAACTGTACAGTTTAATATGAAAGTTAAATGTATAAATACTCGTCCATAAATTATTTCTCAGTTACAAAAATTAATATTGTTTTTTCATTTTATTTATAATATTGAACGCGAAAAAATCTACTCCTAAAATCAGCATCATAACGTTTTATATATTATCTTTTTTCTGTTTAGTCAGATATCTTTATATGTAAATTTTCAATATTAAGACATAGAAAAGGTACATTATACAGAAACAATTAATTTCCTTCGCTTTGTTTTAAATATTTTATCACAAAAAATCTGAAGTGTAGCTTTATTTTAGGAGCTTATGAAAGAGATATTATACGGTTTTCCGCAGTCACCGCTCATGCTATGAAACTTTAGAATCTTTATTAAAAATGAAGTAAAAAATGTATACTTTAATGATTGCAAACTATTATTTAAGTGTTGTAAAAGGCAAAACCATTATTATTATTATTTGAAGAATCCGGACTGAAATAAATAAGAGATTTCGTCAGAAATCGATATATTTGTTGAATGCTCATGAGTTTATTTCAGACCAGTATGTTCAGTCATTATTAGGTTTTCTTCATTTTCTTCTCTCTTTTTTTTTATTGACCACAGAAATTGGTTATCCACATAATGTTAATGTTTATTTTTAACCTAAATAACAATTTTTGACTCCTAAATAACATGGGATAAATTATAAGATTCTCAAAATGCTCATATAAGGGGTGATTGCTGTTTTAACGTCACAGAGACTTTCAATTAAACAAATTGTCAGTATATTTTGTATTAAATTAATGTATTTAATGTTTATTTTTCATTTTATTCAGACAGTGCATCAAAGGGTAAGATATATATATTTATCTTAGGATAATTATTTTTTATTCAGAAATATCGCATTTATCGTAAAGGATGTGTCCTGATGAGGACCCTTACGTTTTCCCATTAAACGTTTTTTAAATTTTATTTCATTTATAGTTATTCTTTAATGTTTAAGTCCTAAAATGAAAAATGCATGCTAGAAACCAATCTGCAAGCTAAATATAGTAATCAAATATTAAAGAATTACTACAATTATTCGTCACTGGTAATTTCCTAAAAAAATATTCTTAATTTTAATTTTTCAGTTTAATTTCCAGTCATTTAAATTTATGCTGTACTACAAAAAACTTTTTGATACCAAATTACAAATACCAAATTTGATACCAAATTTTTATCGACTTCTTCTAAACATTAACTTCGAAATTTTTATGCTTTATATTTTTATCCTTAAAATAAAAATACCATGAACTTTATAAAAAGTTGCATAAGCTCTATAAATCGAAAAGCTGATAGCAAACAATGATTACGTGTATTGATATGCATACTTCATATTTGTGAGTACTCGCTTATAAGCTTTAGATATTCAAGTCTCAACTCTTGAATTTCAATATTGAGAAAATTTCTAACAGCGAAAATTCCTTTCTTCAAATCTTAAAAAGTTAAATAAAATTGGTTGGCTAGCAAAAGATTTTTTAGTTTCCAACAAAACATTTCAGAATCGAGTGAAGATTGATCTAGCTTGCTTATGTTGTTTTTTTTTCTTCAAGAACGCCATTAAGCTAAATTAATTTTCTTGCATTTTTTCTTTAAAATATATTTTCACTGTTTTAATATCATGTTTTCTTTGCTTCTTAAAAATATTTAAAATTTGATTGCAAAAGTCTGTTTTCTTTTGATAAATGTAAAAGTTATTGCAAAAGAATGTTTTATTTGCCAACTCAACGTTGCAAACGAATAAGTCTGCTGTTTAATAGTAATATTCTTCAAAGGCCTTTTTAAGTAGAATAGTTAATTTTTTTTCCTTAAAAAAATGTTAGAATATGCTATAACTGAGCGACAAAGCTTTTTTTAATGGCAAATTCGTCAAGAGATTCAATTTACAAATTTAGGAGAAAAATACCGTAGTAATGAAAAGATATAAAAAGCATTATTGATTAATTTTTTTTCTTTTTCTTCATTTTCAGTTGATGGCACTCTATCAGGTAATTTGTTTCTTAAATTTTATTTTTTATTTGAGCAATGAATTTTCGCGATTTTTCTAACATGGGTAGCGAAGTAAATTAAAATAAATAAAATTTTCGACCAGCTTAATTTCTGTAATTTAAAAAAAAAACTTAAGAATGTAACAACTGCTAAAGTTAAATTTTTGGGCGAGACAATTTTTTTTTAAAAAAAGGAAGAAGAAATAGTAAAGACCCATAAATTTTTATAAACTACTGTACAATGAATCATAAAAATGTTTACACATGGTTTCGTTTCTTTGAAATTAATTAGCTACTCTGAAAAATATTGTTCAATGAACAAGATCAGGAGTTAGTAAAACTTTGCCTTAGTGGTTAGTGAAATTGCTACCAAAAATATGACAGAGTGGATGACTATATATCTTCAATCAGAAATATAAAATCTTTAATAATTTTTGTTAGAAAACAAATAAATTTTAATATAATAACTATAAAAATGAAAAAGTTAACAAAAATTGATGCTTTTTTTATAATTAGATAAATTTTTTGCTATAAACTACGTCTCACTAATAAAAAACGTATGATAATTCCTACTTTACGACCAGTTCATATAAGGAGACCCACTTTACGACCAGTTCATATCATATTTGGAAATTTCATATGAACCAATACTATTCTTTGCTTAATGCAATGTGTAAGCCATATTTGGAAGGTTATCGAGAAAGAAATCTTCCCCAAATCAATTATATTAAAAACTTTTTTTTTGATTAAGTGGGGAAAAAAATTCCATTAAAAGCTGTCTAATCACTTGTAAAAATAATGAGATTGATATCGAAACAAGTTTCATTGCCAGATTAAACGTGTAGTAGTTTCTAGTAATTGCCTATTAACTTTTCACTACTTTTTCTTGCAATCAAACTCGTTTTGATATTTTTATTTCCTTCGCTTTCAGTAATAGTGTGATAAGTTAGTTAAGTTAGATTTCGCTTAAGTTATCGCTTTTTCTAAATATAAATTTGTTGACTGTTCATATTTTTATGATTTCATTTTTCATTAGGATTTCAAATATTAATTAAATTAAATTAAGAAGATTAAGGATTTTTAAATATATATATTAGAAGTTAAAAAGTGAGATGCTAGAAAAAAACATTAATTAAATTAAAATAAATTTTCAAAATGTTGTATGATTCCCAGATATCAAAATTAGTTGATGAAGTGGAAACTGTATACAATATGCTTGATTGACTTACAGCTGTATAAAAAATAAAGGTTTACCTTGAAGGCTTTTAAATATTCTTCGATTGTTATATTTTTATATTCTACAATCGAAGGAATATCGATAATTGAATCTGAAAACAATAATAGCATTTCATTAAGATTTATTTGATACGCAATATTCCAATGCAAAATTTGAAAACATTGTTTTCTGTAATTTAAAAGTAGAAAGATTTTTGATAATAAAATAAATAAAGTTAGATAACTAGAGTAACTCCATTTAGAAATACAATAATTAGAAGCCAACATAAGCAATTAGAATTACTGTTTCCATACAAAACAAGTAACAAATTTAAAATACAAAAGTTTTATTTATATTATAGTCCTTACTATATTTAGATATAAACCATATTTATTCAAATATTTTGATATAATTTATAATTGAAAATTAAACGTAGATTTTAGAGTATAATGTAATTTCTTAATTTTACAAAATAAATTAATTATCTAAAGACCATTGCTGTACTTGTTTTTATTAATTTTTACAGAGTTTAAACAAGGACGTAAGTATTATTTAAATTTATATAATTTGTGTCTATAACAACAATAGAAACTGAACATTTTAATGTTTATTTTTTTGCTTACTGGAAACTTATACAATACTTGTGTGTACGTAATTTCTGCGAATGACAAATGAATGAATGAAGGACAAACATATATCTAAAAGAATTGTGACTATATTTTAATCTTGATTTTTGATCTTTGATACAGTTAATATTATAAATCAATATTTTTAATCATACAAAAATGATGACAATTATAAAGGATAAATTTTGGAACAAATGTTTTAATCTTATTAATATTATTTTGACTCTAAAAGTTTTCCTAATAATTTTTAATAATAATTTATAAAATAATTTATCATAAAGACGTTTAGAGTCAAAATAATATTAAATGTCTTTAAACGTCTTTATAATAATTTGACTCTTAACGTTTTTGACATATTTTTCTCGTTCTTTAAAAATAATATATCTGTGTTTCAAAATCTATCTAATGCAGAGATGCATTATTTTCGTACTTATAATTCAATTCATTGTTTTTAAAAATAATTTTGACATAATTATTTTTTCAGTCGAGGCACTCGGAAAAGGTAAGAAGAGTTTTTATTTATCTGCCTTACATTTTAATCAATATGCATATTAAGTGCCTCAAAATAGTTGACGATTTGCAAAATTGATTATAAAACAGAAGGAGAGAGAGAAATTTCGCCTTCTGCATAAGATATCACTCTCTCCAACCCTTCTACCAAGTGTGGATTTTAAACTCCGAAACTTTTAAACGTCGAAGAATTGACATAAAATTAGATTCTACACGATAAAACACCATTGGAGAAAGTCCAACCAAACAGCTATCCTTTTCCTCAAGAATTGAACCTCTATCTACTCCGTCTTAGGGCAAAGCTTAAACCCACCACAGCGACTGGGAGGCCAAATGCATTTTTTAGATAGGCCTATTTAAGTTTGATGTAATAGTATCTTTAAAAAATTATCACTGTTATTATTATTTAATTTATACAAGTTTTGTTTCATTTTTTCAGACAAAAGTATGTAATGTATATTTTAATATTTTATGTCAAACATTTCAAGAATTTGAAATTAAATATTTTTTTTTGCAATGAATTAAAACGCTTTCTGAGACAAAAAATTTTGATACATAATTGCCCACTTACTTTTTAAGAAACTTGAACAATCATTGAAATACTTTCAAAATGTAAAAGTTAAGTTTATTAAATTTTTATTAAGTAATGGTAATGTGTTAAGAAAATATTTAGCATCTAAATTTGACTGAAAAAACAGTTTTTCCTCTGTGTATAAGTTTTGATAGTTTTTGGACATTTTTGATGGAGTTAAAGCACTTATCGAAAATTGCTACTTGTTTTAAAGTGGTAACGCTCTAAAATATTTATTCTCTAATGAAAAATATAAACTGAAAAGTACATTCAGATTATTTTTTAACTTACAAAATACTGCAATATTTTGTAAGCAATTTATATGCAATTATATTCTAGATACACAAAGGATTCTTAATATCGAAGCCACAATTTACAAAATATTCATAATAGTGATACTCTATTCTAAAAAATATCATTATAATCAATTTTACCGTAAATGATTTTAAGGTGCGTTGTACGACACCAGATAATGATTCATAATAACTTCATAACAATGATTCTACATTTTAAAAACTAAATTCAGATTGCACATTCTGTAACATCTATCTGATAAAGAGATTGAAACAAATACAATGCTATGTCTAACAAACTGAAATTGATAATTAAAGTGATAAATGTAAAATTATTTTATTATTTAATACATAAATAAACTATAAAAATGCAATTTATTGTTTTTAATAATAATTAATGTTGAATAAATTGGAAATTACAGAAGCTGCTAAGAAACGTAAGTAAATTCGTTAAATTTTCGTTTTTTACAAAATGCATAAGTTCTGAAAAGAAATTAGTATTAATCCTTTGAGGCAGATGGAACACTTGTCTACCTTTTTTTTTCTGACGCTATAATTACAAGCAAAAATATATTTCAATATTTTTTAATCTAATAGTTATTAAATAATAGTTATTAAAAATTCAGTCTAAAAGTTATTAAAAATTTGTTAAATTGTAGGAATCATATTTGTAATAAAATATGAAATCTATAAAAAGTAGTTAGAAATTTTTTTTTCGTTCATGTTAAAAAATTTGCCAATATTTTATTTCGAAAATTGATGAAATTTCAATGATGAATAACTGTTTCTCTTAGATCTAAATAACTGCAAATGAATATAAATTTGAAAAATTATTGCTTGAATGTGAACCATGTAGGGAAGAATCCAACTTTTACGTAGAAAAATAAACTGGTATTTCATGCTGTATTTCCTAACCATACATTATTAAAATGTTAAATATAATATTTTTCATTATTTTTAACTAAATTAGTACAAAATAATGAAAAGAAGTATGAAAAATACAATTAATGACAATTCTGAGTCAAAGTGTTAAAATATTATTCTGAAATATATATTAAGATTAGATAAAAAAATTTTAGATTTAACAATCTATGTAATGATGAAATATATTTTTGGAACTTGATACCAATTCATGTTTTCATCTTCTTAATTTTTTTGATATACAAGGTGATTGTAAGGGCCACCTTCAGCAAATATTTTTGAAATTTCTGTTAGAAATTCTTATTAGAAATAAATGTAAGTATGCTCACTAAAGGACACAAATTAAAACTTAATGAATCCCAAGTCAATGAATGAATTTCAACACCTGGAAGGAGTTGTGCTAGATAAACTAAATTTGGTAGTCTTGTTCGTACAATTAAAAGAAGGTGTCTATTCAAATTTCGTGCTTGGCGCATAAGTTTGGTGAACATGGAAATCAGAGTTGCTTTATTTTTCGTAAAATTTTCACATAGAGATTTGTTGATCGCCAAGAATGCTTTTAAGAAGCTGAAGAAGACATTATCAGCAGCTCAATGATGTTAAACGTTGTCGTGTAATAGTGCTTTCTTTTTGCGATATTGCGGAAAGACTGGATTGAAATGTATCCACTGTGAATGATTTTATTTTATTTTTGAACAGCCATCCAATCATTGAACAGCCGATCCAATTTTTGGGTTAAATGCTACTAATGTTCAACTCCGTAGCCTTATAATTCTGAATTCAATGCAGAAGACAAGGGAACTCCTGGATCAAGTTTTGGAAGAAATTTGCCTTTATGGAGGACTTTTCGATGGCTTTTTTTCCTCCTTACAGTTCCGAGCGAGACTCCTACGTTCCACTTACTCCAAACCACAACCGTTTACGATGCGAATGGTGTCGAGTTAGAGCTCACTGAAAGACCGTGTAGAGATCTATTGTGTTTTCTGATGTGTTCAGCTTTGATTCCAGTGACAGCAGCATATTGCTAAGATGGAGTCCGCGTGAGCTCCTGCTACCGACCTATCCCCGACCTCGACACACTGGACTTACATGGGGAGTTATGGTCTGAAGAGCTGTTTCTTATGGTAGCAGGAACACTCTCCCGGTTATTCCATGAACCTTGTCTGCAAATTTGTATGTCAGCCTGGTGATTCAAAATATTTTGTTGCCATTCATGAGTAGCATTCAAGGGCTGTCCCGCCAATGGAAGAGGAAATAAATGTTGCCCAAATAAGAATTTAACTAAAAAAATAAAAATTAGTTAACTGTTCGAGTTCTCTCTACCTATAACTTTTTTTAAAAATATTTATAAAATTGTGATAATTCTCATATATTTGACATGTAATTTTATATGAATCTCTATTTCAATTTTAGAATTTCTCAAGAAATGTGAGTGCTTTTTTATTTCTTTTTCTAATTACTTTTGAATTTTACCAGTGAACACTCATTGAATTTTGCTGAGTCAAAATGATTTACATTTGATTCTTTTTCGGGAGATGAGCTTTCATAAATATAAACGTTAGATTTTAGTGACTAATTATCATCGAGTTGTTTTCTATAATTATTTCCTTACAATATAATGCTGCTATAATACTTTAATTTCCTTATCAAATTTTCAAATAAGGTAGTGCTCTTAAAATTGTGCCAAGAACAATCACTGGGTCTTTATAGAAACAAAATGACAAACACTTAACTTTGGGAAGAAGTCAAACCTTGAAAACCTTGAACCGTTGCTGACGAGATTCAATTAAAATTTGGCGGCTCTATAAAGAACATGAAGGATTTTTTTAAGACGTGCTCTTTTTTTAGTGTTTGTTCCGTTTTCGGTGAAAAAGTTGGAATACAGCATATCTGACCAGCAATCTATTGCTCGGCGGCCACCCTATTCCCTCAATCTTAATCTTTAGGGATTGATACCAAAAATTAAATTCACGCAAATAAGCTTAGCAAAACTATCGCTGATCTCAAAAGTGTCATTCTTCAATAACTGTTGGTTATTGAAATCAGCCACTTCAATGACTTCTTCAAAAATATTTATTTGTCTGTGTGATATCCTTGCATTGAGAAGTTTGTTGTTGAACCTAACCTTCAGTCCTGGGTAACCTTCAGTTAACCTGGGTAACCAGAGTAACCTTCAGCTGTTGAACCTAACCTTCAGTCCTGGGCGAAATGAAAAACTCTTTAAAATAGACGATCGATCAGCATCGATTAGTTTTCTCAAATAAAAATTTCTTACTTAAACTGTCAATCTTACCAGAGAAGTTTGTACAAAAATGATACTGAAATTTTTAAAGTACAAATTTTTATTCACAATTAAGATTTCAAATTAGTACTTTTACGAATGTTGCATCCAATGAACATAAAAAATGCTTAAAATTTTTACTAATTTACTAAGTGTTAATTTTTTTATCTGTATAAATAAATTTCTACGATTTTTTTTTACAGTCCAAAAATTAGATGACTGTAAGTATTTTTTTATTATATTTTACTTAAATATTTTTTTATATCTATTTTATAATTTGGGAACTGAATAAGAAATCTATTTTAAGAGCCTGCTTTCTCAAGAATAAAACAGGGTTAAATACTTGAAAAAAAAATTCTTTTTTTAATTTCAAAACTATTCTTTATGTAAAACTAATTAGCACCTGATTTTTATTTTTCATTTTGCAAATAATAATAATAATCGCAAGTAAATAAATAAAGTTTTATTTCTTCATTTTTTGAGAGGCTAAAATTGAAGGCCATTTGCATACCTGCCAACTTTTACACATTTGGCGTAAAATTTTATTTCTATGTTTTAAGTGGTAGTTAAATGTATGCTTTCTATATGTTTCTTGCACTTATAAACTTAATTTACAATCTTTTTGACCACCACTATTTTTAAAAAAAATTAAGTATATATATTAGTATGGGATACACTTGGGCTGTCCGCACAAACTTGCTCAAAATATAGCGTATTTTTCAGCCTAAATTTGAAATTTAAATTCCTTCCCACTACCACTGGGGAAAATCATCCTCGAAAGGTTGGCAGGTATGCATTTGGTATTTAAAGAGAAATGCATCGATTTATGTTTGGCGATACTTTTTACGCCAAGAATCAATCACATAAAGGTCTAAGGTCATTTAAATCTCATTAAAAAAAGGCCTTTTTTCTTACATTTTGACTTTAAAAATTTACATATTGCAACAATAAACCACTGAGGAACAAATTTTTTGGGTGGTAATAAATATTACTTAAAAAGCACTTTTGACGAGACCTTAAAATGAAGCCCCAAGTTGCGAAAAACAGAAATTTTGACCTTATTTTAATTTAACTGCCTTTTTTGAAAGTGAATACTCTTAAAGTTTCCTGTAAAAGAACTTTATGCATAGCAGAAACTAAATCAATTTACCCATCGTTGAGTAATTTCTCCATTTTTATATAATGCAGTTCTAAACTATAATTTCTAACTAGTTGTTGATGGTAACATTTAGAGAAAAACTGAAAATTGGATTAAAAGTTTTGGTTTAGGCTCAATATGGATATGCGGTGATTGTTCATTCACACTAATCATCTTGAATTAACTAAAGGGACGAAGGATTGTGACACGTACAAAATTTAATCTAATCATGTAGAATATTGTTTTCAATGGAATTTTTTGAATTTTTTATTTATTTCATTTTATTATTTTAATTTTAATTTTTTTATTTCTTTACTTTTTTAAAACATAAGATAACTTTAAGTCAATAGGATTAATAGTTCAAAAGTTACAAAACCTTGAATATATAAAAACTGTTTTGTTCTTAAAACTATTTTAATATTAAAATATGTTTTATAGATCAGCGATGAATTGGATTCTATGCTCTGTTATATGTTCAATCGAGCTGTTTAAAACCAAGTCTATATGGTTAATAATTTAACAGTTATAAGGGAACTCTACCATATACTCTTTTACACATGAAGTATTATGAAACTATAAACTTAATTTTTTTTCTGAGTGAGCGTAAGAACTAACAGTAAGAACTAAACAGTAAAAGAACTAAGCGTCAAATTTGTCTGTTAAAAATGTCAGACATGTAAGCAAGCATAAGTATAAGTTGTACTTTTTATAAGTAAAACCATTTACAACTTTTTAAATATAAATCATATTGTTTTGGAGTTGGTTTCATTCGACACAGAGTGTTTTAATATTTGGAAAACAATACCGTACTTGTCCAGATAGAAAGGTGGAAGTATAATCCCTCTTATTGACCTTTTCCCCTCTGTTGATTTGATGAATAAAACTAACCTCGTGTTTGGAAGAAGCATCAGATATCATTATGCAGTTCCTTACAATAAAAAATTTGAATAAATAACAATTTATTAAAACATATTTAAGAAAGGCAGGTGAGTTCCCCTCCCCCCGTTTTTATTTAGTATACAGACTGAGTTGTAGCTGAATATATAATATGTAATATGTTTAGCAACAACTACATTCAGTTATACATAGTAAAGCTAATTTAGCTATAAATAATTAGATATATATTTTGGCGAGACATTTCAAAAAGTGTAATCCAGTATAATATTTCTATTTTACAGCTACAAAAGAAAAGAGTATGTATAATAATTATTTTTGCTGTAATTATGTCGATTATTTAATTATTGTTGATGTTCCAAAACTGTT